AATGAGCTCAAGCGAGCGAGCTCATGCCAATGAGCTCAAGCCAATCTGCACAGCAAGGGACCTACATGTACATGTTGTTAGAGTCTGAAGACAGAGATTAAACAGGTTTGACAAATGGCCAGTTTTAACCAATGATTCCGTACATTTGCAATTGGGGACCTGATCAGCACTAAACATGGGCCTTTCCCACATTTCAAAGTTCAAGCTTTAGTGGGAAGGATTGTTTATATACTACTCATTTTTAAATGTTTCATCTCTGTCCTTCAGTTGTCCCTTTAATAATATTTCTAATAGATCACTAATGAAACAATAACATCTTCCCTCACTGAAAACCCGACTCTGCCTAAATTGCTTTTTTGTGCTAAATAGATTTTACCTTGGTAGACGTACTGATGATGATGCCCGTCAGATATCAAGATGGTCACGGTGTGCTGGGGTCAAAGGCCGATGGCGGAACAACCTCATCGCAAAATGCGTGCGTAGTGGCTGTGCCTATGACAACTTTGCCATCTCTCCTGTTGTCAGACAAACTCTGCAGCATTGGGGATATCGACTGACCAAGGAAGACTTTGATAAGGGAGCCAAGAGAGTCAAGTAGATATGAAGATACTGGACCTAGAAGGGGTTGGTTGGGAATTTAGACTGGTTGGTCATGCTGGAACCTTATATTGACAAGATAGGTTTGGGGGATAAGTGGCCAAGGTTGCATGCAGTGAGGGGGGCCACACTGATATTATGGCAGCTCCCCACCCCGCTTTCCTACCCTCATAGGCCCAGGAAATTGTGAGATGCACTGGAATGTAAATTCATAGTAATAAGGATGAAACCCAGGGTTTTTTTGGATTGAAATTTTGTCCATTCTCTTCCCAGCAAAGGTTAAAACTGCCTGTCCATCCCTCACAAAATATTTGAAACTGATGGAAAGAATTGTAAAGATTTATTCTCCTGTACTAAAGATTCATGTAAAAACACAGCATTTGTAAAGTTTGTACAAGAAAGAAAATGCCTGTCCAGAGTTTTTTCGCCTACCCTCTGGACAGATGGGCAGATGAGATACTGAAGGCACCATTGGCCACCTTTTATAATTGTTGAGTGTGACAGTTATCAGAGTCTCACACATTTGTAGAGAAGGTACGTACATGAAGTATTGTCACTAAGCACCAATTATTTGCATAGTATTGTTTGCGACATTTCTGTTGTACATTCTGGTAAGATGTGCATCGTGTACATTACTGCTGTTAGTAAGGCCTGAGTGAAGAAAATACAGACCCTTGATTTTAATTCTTATGAAATTTGATGCCATTGAAATGTTTTTTTATCACAAACTCAAACAAGACCAACCTACTTTTTTATCTCATCATGTGAAGTTGTAAATAGATCAGCCATAATCATTTTCAAGATAAAAAATGGTCCCATGCTGTCCTCTTTGTAGTTGTACCAGCAATGTTGTTATCGGGGATTTCAGTTGAGTGTGTAAACAATGAATTATCTAGCTTATGACAACTGTGCACCTCACGTGATGATTTTGGTTTGTGCATAACTGTTAAGATATAATAAATATTTAGTAGCTGTATTTATAGTAGGTATTTTTGCCTTTTTTAATGATTGGCTTCTCCGAGTGCTTTTGCCTGCCGTTTTAAATTTATTTTGTAATGGTTATTTTTTGGTAGTTTCGAAAAGTAATATGGGGTCATTCTTATTTGTTTCTAAAGTAATAAATGGATAGAAGGGCTGCGAAATTCTCATCTCGTAATGTCCTTGTTTGCCTTCATGCAAATCGTGAGTATTAGTGTCAATATTCACAAAAAATAACCACTTGCCTCCAAATTGGTGCGTACTTATGTTCAAAAATCACGTCTCGTTCCCAGTTGCAAACTGAATACTGACGTGAATAATTGTGCCGAGAAGTTCACTTCTCGCTCCTCGGTTGCAAATAATTCCTTCATTTTAAAGGGAAAGAACAGTCAAATGTTTATATTCCCTTCTTAAAAGCTAGCTGCGAAACACGAAAGCGTAAAGTATACAAATCAAAACTCCATTCATTTAGAATTATGGGGACTAGAAAAGATCCCTCACAAAGTTTCAAGCAAACCTCACGAACGCCGTACATGTAGCCTTTTTCAGATCTAGGTGAATTAAGTGACGCGAGTAATAAGTGAATAAACCGTGCACACCAAATGTATGCGCAATGTTCAGAACTCTAGTCAAAATGGCATGGACCAAGCTTGAGCATTTGCCTATCCACCTGTTTGTTGCTCATGCAGTCGAACAAAAAATAAAACCTTGTGGCCAAATTGTCCAGGCTTTAGGGAGATCCCAGGGTGGATCCGGAGCCAAATTTTCTTGGGGGGGGGGGCTTGTGCATTTTGGGGGCTCTCTGAGGGAAAAGGTCCAATGTTTGAACATTTTACATGCCTTTGGAAGGAGGTAAATGAAATGGACCAAAAATTGCCTTCATAATTTTTCCAAAAATATTTTGGCTCCGTTTTTGGGGTAGGGGCACACGTCACAGATCCCTCTGGTGGGAGATTTCGCAGAGCTTGAAGCTTACTTATGTGAAAATATCACAAAGCATAAATCCGTATGAAGAACATCCAGACCGGGTGTAAATAAAATACTCTTGCCAGCCCCGTTGCCAGCTTCAGACACGAGGGGGGCACTATACCATTTAAGAACAGCGCTTTTAGATAATTCTGATACTTATGGGTTTTGCCGATTGAGAGGGGGCAGCTGCTGACCGAGGGGGGGCTCGATCCCCCCCGTCCCTTGGTCATGGACCTGACTCTTGCGGACCCGTAAATTGTCTTCAGTAAAAAAGGCCCACTCATAGCCAGGACCGATCCTTTACACTGAGAAGTGGATAATGGAATCAAAATTGATTAATCATTTCTAGTATCAATTTGATTAAGTTGCAATTATTATTGATGCTAAATTCTTTTAAGGTTCGATAATGTATGTAAAATAAGCAACGCGTGTAGCAGGAATTAATAAAAAAAAAAAGAAAGAAAGATATGTGCTGGGGTGTAAGAGCCAGTGTAGAATTTCGTTGGAGGAATAATGAAGTTTGAACTAATCGAATCTCAATGACAATTTACATTAAAAGGCGGAGTGAAAAGTGGCTGCGGGTTGCTGAAGGTCTCCGTCCTTGAATAAAACCGAGGAACGGTTTGCTTCATCCTTACGGCTTGTTGCTATGGTGAGGGCAAAGAAGACGGGGGTGGCACGTAATGAAAATGGTCAGCGCTATCGGGATGTGTGCAAACCATTGTTGGTAACGAATTCCACACGCTGGGCGTCAACCTGTGGCTCACATCCACATATTTAGCTCTAATGCCTTGGAGTACACTGCAGGTAGCAGTGTTGTTCTCGCCGTTGCAGAATTTCTGTCATTCTGTTTTTGGGGGTTTTTTTGCCGAGTGGCTGTCTAGAAGTCTGCATGTGAAAGTGTTACCGATAAGATGGCGTGATCATTTTTGGGTGTGAACGCATGCTGATGCCATGATGACGTGAAGGTAATTCCCCTACGATGTTATTTCCATTTCATCCACACACATATAGGGTGTTTGAATAACCAGAACCATAAATTGCTTAAGTCGGAGACAGACACCAACTTGTGACAGGAGAGACATTTGGACTACTGTGGGAGCAACTGTCTCTTGACCCTGTAATGAGTGGGATGTTGAATTACACAAATAAGACATATGCTTTAGATGGATGCACATCATCATGACAATGAGGCTGCATCATGGCAGGACTGTCGGAAAGAGTTCCATACGGACGCCCCTTGACACCTTGTGCACTAACCCTCTGGAACTGGTCTGAAAATTTCAAAGTGTTTTTTCTAAGTAAACGACTCGGTTTTTTCCTTCTTGAATTGAACTTTTATGGACATGTTTTTGCTCTCTGACGGCTAATAGGTCACTGTGGGAAATAATTACTGGCATCCGTATGTGGAACTCTTTCCGGACTGTCCTTCCGGTATTGGATTCTGTTTACTGCACAAAGGCAACAAGATTGTAAAACAGCTTGTGAAAGAAGTAGCCATATGATTAATAAAGGCAGCTTGTTATCATGTTCGTGTTGCACCCAAGTGCATCGAGGCGTGTGCCGACACCTCTGAAGAATGAATGCATCTTGCTTTTCCTCCGAAGGCTCTCCTCACAAATGATTCATTGCTACTTGGATCACTTAAAAAGTTTAAAGTCAGCTTGTTGATGGAACTGGGAAAGATGTCATTGTGCACAAAATTTTCATTCGTAAGATGTCACAAGGAGTTTGGTAAGACCACGGAGCAGTGGCGTAAATCTGTGTTGCCGGGAAATTGGGGGATGGGGGAAGTGGGGGTGCGGCCACGGATACTATGAAAAGCGGAGGGAGGAGTGATACCATATAGACTATATTGGGGGTATGTTCGTGACGTGACAAAGATTTACATCTGTAATGTGTACCAAATTCATGCAGAATCTTGCAGAATGCTATATTATGGATTTTTAAAATTGCTTTCCCTTTTTATTGATATTGCAAACATTTTAGTCGTTGGGAAATCCTGACAATTCTTCAAAATCTGCTTTAATGATTTTGCTCATCACAAAAACGTGGGGGGATATATACCCCCACCCTCCCGGATTTACGCCCATGCAATGGAGGAATAAGAACACATGGTTTAAGACTATGTAATAACCCTTGTCATGCACAATGCATATATTTGGGCGGCAGCGCCCACTGATAGTCAATAATAGGAAGCGAAGGCCTCCCGTGTTCTTGGCACTTTGGAATGAATTTTCGTTTGAATCAACGCCCTTGTCTCAAGGATTGATTTCGTGATTTGTCTGAACAAATCAAACGACTCTCTGTTTTGAAACCACCATTTCGTGGTAAAACAATTTCCCCCAGAAGTCAGTGTCTGCATGATAGGCCTATATGAAGCTGAAGTTGTAACCAGCATCCACGCAGAGATGATCGTATTTCGGAATAGGCAAAGATGACGGAGGCAGAACCAGCTCAGGGCTCACCAGTCACGGCACCGGCACCACCCGTGCGGAGGGTGACTAGGGGAGCAAGACGGAGTGGCCGCAAGAGGAGGTAGGCATGATAGGAGCTCATTATATTCCAAATATTGCCAAGGAGCTTGACGTCACCTCCTAATGGTTTACTATGCTGAAAGGGGGAAGAATACACGGCGACCGTACGTTCAATTACCCTCATAGCTGATCACCCCAGACACCCCCTTTGCAACCTATTTATTAATCAGACGAGCCCGTCTTTCTCTATGAAGGGCCTATATGTATGGTGTCACCCACCGTTGGTAGAAAACTTAAAGCGTGTAAAAGATCTAAGAAGCCCGAGCCTACGACCCCTATGAGCAGTCACAGTAGCCTGATTAAGTTTTCCGTAGGGCATATGTATGGCCATCGGTACCATGAGTACAGTGTTCCCAACTGGTCCTGTCTAAAATCTGAACCGTGAAAATCGGTGATCATCATGTACTCCAGTCTTTGCTCAGATACCATGGAGCTATTCTCAGCACTTGTCACGCTCTATTGATCCTTAGTTTCATTTTGAAATCTATTTATATGTGTTCCAGTGGGAAAAATTTATCACAGCGACGAGTAAACAAAGCGAAAATTTATATTCCTCATAGTAACTCGCCTGTATTATGGGCGGTACCGGGTGGAGCACCCGAAGTTCAAAGTACAGGCTGGTGCCACACGTCACCAAGATCTACATACATACATGTACATACGGTTGGCTGAACGTCAATAATTTAATTTAAGCGCAGGTGTTCGTGCGTGTTGATGTCACGCAAGGGTGAAAGCTCAAGCTCAAATGAGCTCTTCACCGGCCATTGGGTCGGGCAGTCACCGTCCAAACACCGTTTCCCTTTCACACAGCGACTCTGAAGCTTTATTAGAGGCCGAGGCAGCCAAAGGATTACCGCCTGTTGTCCACCCGTACGCATACCACTCGCCCTTAGAAGTCAGCGATCATCTACCGGCAGGGGTAGGTGAACAGGACGTAATAGGCGATCCATCAGAAACATTGACTACGCCAAATACTCAGAAAGTGCAAACAACAAGGCCTGAGTCTGCCCCATCAGAACACAGTGAAGCCAGTGTGAGCTGCATAAATGTACTACCACCTCCTTGGTCAGCACGGGTGGCACCATCTGAAGATAAAAAACTAATAAATTCCTCAGACAACCAAGAGAATCGAGAGCCGATAGATTCACCAGAAGGTACAGCGTCGGTGCTGTCTTCTTCCGCGGGCACCATGCCCCGCAGCGACGGTGGGCTGGACCGTGAAGACACGGTGGAGATGCGCGAATACCGCAGACGTCAGGAAAATGGCGATCCGCCTGACAAGCCGCGGTATGCACCCAGCTGGCCGACCCCAGAGGAGCTCGATGAAGCTGAAGGACTTGGGAGAGGTTTGAAAACTTCCGACAGTACTGAAGATCTCAGTAATCTCATCAGTATTCATCAGGTACATAACCCCTTGAAAGATTTAGGCCTACCTGTTGGCCAGAGGTCTACCTGTACCCCCACCAGACTCAAGGAAACAGCAATCTATCCAGTTGTGTTCAGGACCATAAACACTTGCTTGATCTGGCACAATCTTTAATTTCAGATGCTAATTAGGAAACCGTCCTGTGTGACATAAGGGAAGAAATGTGTGGTTTTCTGTTCTAGATGTTCTTGGCACCGTATCTAGGTATCGATATACCTTGTACATGTACATCATACATGTACACAATGGTACAATTACAAGTATATGTACATGTACACATGCATGACATGCAAGGTACATACACCTATATGGTAAATCTTGTCCAAGTAAAGGACTCTACAAATCACTTTTAACATTTGGACATGATTTGTAGAGTCCTACATGTATGTGTAATTACTTGGACCATCCTGACCATGGCAATCAAAGTCAGAGCGTTCTTGTAAATGTGCCTTCTACCTAATTTTTTGAATGATATTTTGCTGAAATCTGGAAATAAGAGGCTGTACTAAGCATGGTAAGTGTCAATCAGGACACAACTGGATGGATATTTTCAAAGAGTTTTATGTTTTGACTAATTCTTGTAGGTGTAAATCTAATTACAGAACTCCAAGTTATATTATGGGTTTGTAAGACTATGTACATGTATCTTAACTGCTGTCTAGTTACATGTACATGTATGATGTATGTCAAATCAGGGTACATTTACATTGTACCATACATGTACATGTACTGTACATGTACATTTTAAAAATACATGTATTCCACTTTCTCAATGAAATCTTCCCCCAAAAGCTGTCAACTGATGCACAAGGTCTGTCCACACTAAAAGACACATTTGCACGCGTAGATGTAACCAACATCATCTCTTTAACTTTGTTGACATGAAGAGACTTGGTGTACACAGTTTAATAGGATTTGGTTTGTTGAAATAATCAGGATTTTGATGAAAATGTCCAGCTTATTTTAGGGGTTCTGGTTGGACATGCACATAACTGTGTCAACTCTTGTTTTTCAGGTTATTTAAAGTACCACTCTCATGGAGAAAAGCACTTCATCTGTTAAAACCTGGGTACTACAGGTATAACATTGGAGAAATATGTCAAAATCTATGGCTCTTTATTTCTGTAGGATTATCTTCAACCGGAATTTAAGGAGAGCTACATGTACATGTAATTAAGGAATAGGGTATGTCGCAGTGTCTACCCACAGAGTGTCAAACATCAAACAGGCTGATTTTGCCCTTCCTCGAGCAGATAACCTGAACAAAAATATATACATGTATCTTCCTGAGAAAAGTTTTTACAATGAAAGTTTACATCATATTTGTGTTTTTTTCTGTGAGATGACAAAACTAAGATTTGATTTTAGAAAAATTTGCAAATGTCTGTCCATTATTTTTTTCCTTCTAAATGTAAAAATCTTTGAAGACTTATCTTATGGTACATCCATACATTTAAATAAAAATATTAAATAATTCATTACTAAAAGTCAGTTCATTTTGCTGAAATAAAAGTATGAAGACTGTCTGTCCCCAGGTGATGTGACAAACGTTACATCTGTCAGTGTAACCAATGTTACTCATTGAGAAAACTCACGTGTGTTTATTTTAGCTGAAGTTATAGTCTTTTTAACAAGAATGATTTTGAAAACTAAAAACAACCAAGTTTGTTAACAATTCTGTTTTCAGGCTCTAAATTATACAGTGTATGTCTGTCCATGTGACATATGTTATATCTGTCCATGTGACAAATGTGATGTCAGTCCCGTGACAAATTTTACCTCTTTAAATAAGTTTCAGTGTTATATATGTATACATGTAGTACACTGAAATTGTTTTTATGAGGTAATGAAAGTTTCTAAAAGTAAAATCAAAATAGCATTTAATACGTTGCAGGTCATTTTCATAATTTACATGTAAGAAGCAAAGTGTCTGTCCATGTGACAAACCTTATATCTTCAAGAATAAACGTCTGTAATTTTTCAAATACTGCTCAGTTTATTGATCATACCTTTTTGTGGCAGCAATCAGAAACAGTGAAGACATACATGTACAGTGTATGGAAGCAAAAAATAATGGCTAAATTTTACATTTGGAAATTTTTAATGAATGTCACGCAAATGTGTGGACAAACCCATATATCTCTTTGCATCTTCTGACCTACAGGTATGGATTTGAGACCATGTGATTGACTATTTCTTGAAAAAAAATCGGAGTTTTGACTCGCTACCCTCTGTTTCTCCTTAGGACAAAACCCCCAAACACATCAAACACTGAGTGTGCATCACACGGTGCACATGCGTTACAAATGTAGGTATTTGAGTAGATTGAAGATGTGCAATAATGATGTCACACATACGTACATTTATGTCCTGCCCTTTGATACACATATGTACAATGTACTGTTTGGATCGATAAGTACATGTACATGAATATGTAGACTGTACATGTAAAATAGAACTGTACAGTACATGTACATGTGCATGTACCAGTATGCCCACACCAGGCCTTGACCTTACAGTATTTGGCTGATTTTTTCAGTAGCCTCCCCGAATATTCACCAGCCTTCTGGATATTAACAAAACTACCTGTAACTTTGATTGGTATTTTCCTTTTCATTTTAGGTATTGTTGTCAATTTTAAAACTTGAAAGTGTATTACATACCGTATATGTACCTGTACATACATGTACTAGTAGATAATAAATGGTAAGAACAACATACATACATGTACATGTACATGGACATGGTACAATCAGAACTCAGAATTTTTGTTAACTTTGTGTTATTCGTCTTTGAAAATAAGAAAAATGAAAGTTTTTCTTTACCAGTCTGCTTAACAAGTTTCAATGTACATGTTTAAAATGCATTTTACTTGCCCACAGCAGTTTTTACTAGGATTTGTCTGCTGATCTAATGAGGCCTGGCCTAAATTTGTTCATTTTGGATCATTGGTTTCCAGTTATGCAAGAATGTGCAGTGTACATGTACCGGTATACTACATGTACATACAGTATGTACATGTAAGCTGCTTATTTTTGCATCACAATAGTGTCTCAGTAGTTCTTGGAACATGTATTTTTTGGCTGTTTTTTGCACAACTTTAGTTACAGGTACATACATCTGACTTGAAGAGATAACAGATGTTTGAATGCTGCATTTGATATCGCGGACATTCTACATGTTCTAGACATACATACATGTGGTGTAACTGCTGTACATGGCAGGGACGTGCAAAGAGTACTTAGTACTGCTTCTGTACATGTACATGTATAATTCTAAACATGTACATAATGTATGTACATGTACATTGGTACATGTACATGTACATGCTAGCATTAAAATACATTTACTGTACAAAAATGTACATTCAACTTAATAAAAACAGAACAGACTTCCTCATACATGTACATTGTACCATACTTGTAAAGTTGTAAATCACCGTTCAATTTCATGTATCATGTTTAAAACATGTCAGAGGCAACTACGTGTAATTGTCCTTGTTCCTTTCAGTTCAAACATAATAAGCCTGTTTGCATTGTAGGCAATACCTTCACGTAATGGGTGTTGTGAACTTACAAAGGTGCATTCAAGCATTTCAAGCAGATGTTGCATATTTGTAAGGACACTGCTGACTCACTCTTCCCTGTGCTGTTTGTTCATCTCTGTGGGTACTGACATGACTGATGCAGATATTCGACTCAAGTCTTACATGTACCATACATGTACATCCATTTGCAACATGTACAGTAAATGTACCTGATGACACACGCTAACTGTACATGTACATTGAGCATGTTGTACATTGTATTTTTTATTATTCATTTTTCCGCTTATTTTGGAGATACATGTGTATCTCTGCTGAAAATTAAATATAAATTAGCACATCTGATGATTAGATTTTCGTCATGAATCGTATTTTATGTCTCTGACGTCTTTTTTTTTCGAACGTCATTCAGAACAACTGATTTTTCTTTTTTTTTTACATGGAGGGGCTCATGAATATCAAACAAAAAAGAGGACGCACTATCTGGATTGATGTCAAAGGTCAAACAGGCCACAATGAAGGGAAACGTTTCTCGAACGGCACCGCAATATAATGACGAAAGCCGCCACGATCAATTTTTTGGACTGCAGTTTTCAGAAACATACTTGAGGAAAATTTGATCGGTCTGCGATGGTTTGGCAGTGCTTTTTTGCACTTTTTTTAAAAGCTTGTGTTGTACGTCGATTTGGATTTTACTTGCAGTTTTTTGCAGTCCATTTTTTGACACTAATGACAGAATCGACTGACATTTGTGACTGGCGACTTCGGGACCCAATTAATTGTGAGAGGTATTTTTTAATTTCGTGATCATGGTTTTAATACATGTGAATATTATCACCTTTCACCACAAATAAATCTGTGTAAAATAACCGCAGACATTATCACTCCTCGGTAAATTCTATTGGCTAGGATTTCAACAGGTTGTTCATGTCTGTCAAAAATGCTGACGTTCGAGACTTTAATTAATTAACTCCAATTAAGTTGAAAGATGGACATGGTCATCACTGTTCCAGATATCAGCCGGGACTTCCCTCAATACATCAGATGTTAGGAATTATTTCACTGCTGTTCACTTCTTCAGGAAGAATGAGCCCCAAAAGTTGAACATTATCTAATGATATATATTTTGCGGAACCTGCTTTATGCACTGAACCATTTCTTCTCTAGTTGACTTCACATCAACAGCGCCCTCAGTTGTCTGAGAAAGCGTGGATAAATTGTTTGAAAGCATGCACTTTTCAGTGCATTTAGCCAAACAGGAAAGTAAAAGAATTTTCATACATTGAAGAATACAAAATTGAAGAAAAATTGT